CGGTTACGCCGACGCCGACGCCGACGCCGACGCCGACGCCGCTCAAGCCGGAAACGGGCCCCTAAGAGCTGCGCTCTAAAATGGCAGTACGTTGGCGGGGCGATGTAATTTTAATTATTGTTATCACATCAGGTACGGGTATTACAGACAGCACCCATTTGGTTAGTCTCCTTAAAATTTTGGGGGTCACCTTCGTGCGTTCTGGACTCAGTCGGAACCACCGGGGGTGCTCGCGCATGAACTTCTAAGCGCAGAAGAGGCTAATCTGTTATTTCTCTCTCCTTCCGGGAGAGAGAGATAACCAATAAAAACTAAACATGTCACTGGCAAAACTGTGAGTTCTGCAAAAAGCACAGAACAAGTGGTCTCTTCTCTTTTAAATTTCTAGTTCTTCATCCCGCTTCTTGCTGTGGCCCTCAACTTTTCCTATGTGGGCTATCTGGCCCCCATACTCAAATGAGTTTGAGACCACTGCTTTAGATCAGTGGTCTTCGAGCGGGCGCAGCACGCTTACCTTTTCACGATTACCGCTTGAGTTCAGAGCCATCCTCGCCTGCGCCTTTGGAGACGCCGAGACGCTCGCTTTTCTGGAATTAAGTCCAGGACGCAGTTTTTCTCTGCGCCGCGGAGTTCGCAAAGTATGCCCAATTTCCCTGATGATTTTCCCTTGGCCATCAAACCCTTTTAGAGGGTCGCGCTCCACGGCTCGTGCATTTTGTGCCTCCCTGTCCCAGGGGCCGGCGTCCTTTGCGTACGCGGATGACGTCACCATTTTCCTCTAGGAGGCGATTGACTTGTGGAGGTGTCCCGAGTTTTCGGGATGTGTGCATCCCTTTCTGGCGCGGCCCTGAGAAAGGCCGATTCAAAGATCGGCCAAAACGGGTATTACAGACAGCACCCATTTGGTTAGTCTCCTTAAAATTTTGGGGGTCACCTTCGTGCGTTCTGGACTCAGTCGGAACAACCGGGGGTGCTCGCGCATGAACTTCATTAAGCGCAGAAGAGGCTAATCTGTTATCTCTCTTTCCTTCCGGGAGACGACGAACATCATAAAGTTTGTACTCTGTCGTCGCTCTCCTTAGTCTTGGCCAGCGACAGCTGGTCAAGACGAAACCCCCCATTACACTGGGGCAACCCGACGGTAACAGCAGCACAACATGTTGTCCAACAGCGGGGCAATGTGTTGCTCACTCCCCGTGTTGTCTGACAACCCTATCACATCGTGGCAACAGCAGCACAACATGGACGACAACGAAAATGTTGCCTCAGTATGACAGCTCTCGGCAACAGAAACAACAGCAACTTATGTTGGACAACGTGTGCTGCCCTGATCGCTGGCTGAGCGAATTTCGGGCCGGCAACAAGGAAAAACACAGATAGCTTCGATGGCAGAGCTAGTTCTCTATTAACGTTTTTTTTTAAAGCTTGCTCTATTAGAGGCATGAAAAACATTATTTTTTAGCAATAAGTACGGCGGACTGCAGCTAAAATAGTTTTAGAATTGTTTTTACTGCGTATTTTCGAAAATCAATCGTCGAAATGGTCACACCTACGGTCATGAACGTTCAGACTGGTGTTGAACTCAGAACTGCCGAGAAACGAGCTCACATTACTGCTTGTGAAATAAAATGGCATGCCTACTCACCCGCAGATAAAGGATAATAAAAAAAAATCCACAAAAGCAAAGATGAAAAACTTTATCCATTGAAACGACCGCTCTAATCATATCATGCTTCATGTTTGGGACTTGGAAACAGCCGCTACCAGACACCTCAATTGATTAAAATCCCTAGGAAGTTTTAGAGAATGAACCCATCATATAGCACGCGGTCGGCAAATATAGTATGTCGTCCCATAATGCAACGCGCGCGGTTACGCCGACGCCGACGCAGACGCCCACGGTGAAGCCGACGCCGCTCAACCCGGAAACGGCCGCCTAATGGCTCGTTCACACTTGCGGACCGGCGGCAAGATCCGCGAGAATTCTGACGCCCGGCGACGAAAGCAGGCAGAATTTTCGGCGGAGAACAAGATCGCTCTCCCGCCGCAAGCCAATCAGAACGTACGGGGAAGTGTCGCTTGCTGACGTCAGAACCCCGCTGACGAGCTGGCGACGATGGCGACGAGACGCGCGCGAGCAAGGAGGATGTTTGGAAACTCTCGTCAGCTCCCCCCTCACGTCTGTTCAGGAAACTGCAAGACGCGGCGCGCCGCGCACTCCGCAGGCGGCAACAAATGTGAACGGCCCGATCTTTTTTTTTTTCGGCGAGCGAATCTAGTTGGCGGCGAGTGCGTATTTCGCAAGTGTGAACGAGCCATGAGAGCTGTACTTTAGAAACAAATTTAACAACAACAAAAACTGTGGTACTTTATTATATGCTGTTGGTACGTAGAAGCTGTTTCGCATTCGGCCAGGACAGGTTTTCATTCTCAGCTCAGCAGACTTGAAGCGACAGGGTACCCACTGCATTTTCTTCGAGATCTTTCCGAAACCTTAGCGAAAAAGATCAGAAAAGGCAACAGCGCAGTATTCGACAGGGCTTTCAGGAGGATAGGCCCGTCGTCTTGTTTTACATTCACAAGATGTCAAACAACCCGAAGAAGACGGCCCATCGCTTTGAAATACCGGTAGTTTTTTCAGCCCCAAACAAACTGTTTTCGCTGTGTAAAAAAATAAGCAAATCGGCAGAGGAATCGGCTGTGGCGCAAGATAACTGTAATATACGACATGTCACTAAGTTCCATCAGTGCGCCATTAGCGCCACGTACGAAATTCCCGTCATATGGCAAGGTGTACGTTGGCCAGACGGGGGAGTGCATCAACGATAGGGTCAGGGAGCATGTGTTGGCCACTGTGACCGTTGCGAGTGCGGGCCCAGCTTTTAGAAATACAGCCCCAGTTTCGGTAAGACCTGTGTCGTGGGCCATTAGAAAAAAAAAACGGCGAGAGAAATTCATGAAGCCTTTCTGGTTAAAGTCCCACAACGATAACTCTTGTGCGCACCCGCTTTGTTATTCTTCGATAAAATATTTCACTATCTGAGGAAGCAATGACGCCGGTATCTGAGGGCGTGTTTAATACCCGTGCCACACGGGCAGCTCGAATGCCATTTACAACGAATGACATTTGAGCGAACGGTCAATTAGCGCGCGACACTCCAGGCGTGGCGCATTCCACGCGCGACAGATTGCGAGCTGATTCGCCAATCCCACAAATGTCGCTCGTTGTAAAGGGCATTCAAGTTGCCCGCGTGGCACGTTTATTAGAACATATCTTCGTCCACTGCCAAGTCTGCCGGTTTTTATATTTCTAAATGTATATTTTTTTTTAATAAACCATTCAGTTGAAAGTTACGCCGCGTCCTGTCCAGTTCTCCCTTCGTTTTTGTTCCTGTTTTGGCGTATTACACCACATAAGGGAAATTTCAACCCAAAAGTAGATCTTCGCACAGATCACACATTGAGGATAAACGCTAGCCGAGTAAGAAGGATCGCCTTTTGCGCCATCTAGTAATTATAATCTAAACTACACCTTGTGCGCCGCCAGTGCCATCCGCCAAGGGCTCGTGCAGTTAACATTCGTTTTCGTAACAGCATGAACACCAGATTTCACAGATGAATAAGTACTGCTTAGAAGGGGTTATTTCAAAACGCACCCTTTATTCACTAAAGGCAGCAGAGGAGTAGGCAGAGTCCGGTGAGGCATCACGGTGGTGGCATCGATAGAGCATCTCACGCAGCCAGAATAGTGGTGAGCACAGCATTTTCACTTCGCCCCACAGAAACCACCGCGAGGGAAGCTCACACCACCAGGAGTTTGCGACGCAACTTAGAGGCATACAGCCAACGGACAAAAGGAAGCGGCGCCAACAAACCCTTCTCCGGTGTCAACGGGTACTCTGTCTACTCGCTCGACCAAGCGCGGGGACGTTGAACAGTCGTCGGGGGAACAACAGCCGAATTTTCGTGTCAGCAGACAGAAACTACTGCGGATAAAAGCGGATGCCAACATAAATTTGCGGCGAGAGAGGCAAACCCCGAGTGTAAATAAAGCGCAGAAAATCACTGCGAGAAGCCGGCAGCACCCGGCTGGCCCGGCCAACCCCGCGCTCGGCAACACCGGCGGAAAGGAAGTGCGCTTCGTGATTGGGCCGCTTCTTCAATACGGGCGCCTCCGTCACAATACGAGCACCCGGAAGGGTAAAAAATATTGAACCTTCGACGCGCAAGCCGGAACAAATTAAGAAAACGGAGTGGCGAAGTCAGAACCGGAAGCGGGAATCTATACGTGTTCCGGTTCACTTCAGTGAAATACGAGTCGTTTTGAACCGCGCTTAAATATTCCAGACTCTGCCACGCAGACGCAGCCATCTTGAACTCGGTGGGTTCAGCGCTGCATCAGTGCTAAATTACATTCATGTCAGGGCTGCGTCAGCGCTGTTCCTAGTGCTGATTTAGAGCTGGGACGTATGTGTAAACCGGGCCCCACGCGCATGCTGGAGATGGTTGCACGCATGAGACACCAACAGGGTTGCCGTGGAGCGAAAGATTCCGCTGGAGGGCCAGAGATTTCGGGTTCGATCCTTAACTTTACGTGGACCGTCGCTCTGCAGAGCATCTGGACGACGTGCCCGCACAGCACGTAGCTGAACCGAACCCAAAATCTGGACGAGCATCGTACCGCGTCGCTGCGCGTTGGTATACTACTACTGTGTGATGCACGTTAAATACCTCATGTTAGCGGTTATACTGTACTGGAAAAGGTTGTCATGTACAGCGAAAACATGAGACGCTCCTCGGGGCAGACGAACTTCCCGCTGTCTAAACTTCCACAGAACAAACTTCTCAATCAAGACGCAATAAAATCACGTTGCGAATTGGTTATGGATTTATTTGAAAATATCAGTATTTTATGGGCGGCAGAACGCCTTCAGATCCACTCTGCTGCGTGCGTCTTGTCCAGTTCACCACTGACAGGACACAGACACCAGCAGCATAAATCAAGTCGGGAGCAACGTCCTACAATAACAGTAGTACGCAAAGTCAAATAGTACTCGGTAGCACACGAATTCCAGGCGTCGCAGTTGGTCCTTTAATGTGTACATCTTCCGCGGCGGCGTGTAGTGAGAAGTCACGGCGTTCTTAAGACCGCAGGGAGACCCCACTCTTTGCGAGTGGAAACCCGAAAGGCCCACGCGACGGATGCCGGCACTTTCGGCGCAGGAGCCGGTGATGTAGACGTCCTCAATTGGGAAAGGCTTCACTTGGCCCGTCGCTCTGTAAAGCGTCTCTACGATGTGTCCGCCCAGCACGTAGCTAGAGCCCGCCACGTAGTTCGGGTACGAGGACGCAGGGTAATCTTCGAGGCTTACGTGATACTTGTCAGCCGGATCTCTGATAGGTATGCTGCCCTCAAAGAGTCGGCCATATATAGCATCCGGTGGGCGCGGAGCTATCGTCGCGAAGAAGTTGGCAGCGTTCAGGTACGTGTCGTCGTCTACCTTGACGACGAACCGAGCGCAGCGGCAGAATGTGGACGCCCACTGCAACATCATGATCGACTTGAGAGTCACGTTGCTGTAGGCATCGATGAAGGACCCCTGGATGATGTCCGAGTGAACCGAAGACTCGCTCCGGAGGGTGGACCGAAGTCTCGAGTCGTTGGTGGCACCCAAAAAAAACACTACCCTGGTGGCCGGATACTCCCTCAGGTCTTGGCCCCAGGTCTCGCGAATGGCAACACGGTGTCCCGAGTTTTCGGCGGCCGAGAATACCACAAAGAGATAGTCAACGCGATGAGGTCTAGTGTCGTTGCCAAGGCACAGATGGGGTGAGTTGATGATATAATCGAAGGGATGCGCGTAAGTGCGCTGCTTCGGGAGAACCTTGGGCGGAAGCGACTGGAGGGCACGGCTTGGCGTCGAAGTAAAATCTTTGCTGCCTCTGAATTCAATGCCTCCGTGGGCGCAGAGGTATACGCCGCCCGAGAGGAACGCCACGACTACCACGGAGATGGTAAGCTGACGTATGGCACGGCGTCTGCGGAGCGACCACATTGAGCGATTCTGAAACGTCAGGGATATGCAATTAACAGCCCGTAGAAATGCTCGCATAAAAACCCTTAATAAATAGACCCGTTAGAAAGCAATCATATCCAAGTCTAGTCTCACGTTTTCTTCGCTGATAGATGTTCACCATTAATTAGGTGACGCCACCACGCTGAGTGACATCACCGTCCGCCGCCACAAATTCGCCCTCCCAACGTTTCACGCCACTATACCAGTGTCTTGAAAGCATCAGGCATTGGTTGCATGCAGGGATGGGCAAAGTACATGAAAATATGTATCGAAATGCAAATACAAAATACTTCGTCAAAAATGTATTAAATTACAAATCTAATTGCATTTCCAAAAAAGCATTTAAGTACAAGATACAAATGCAACCAAATGTATTTGATGTCCTCCAAATACTTTTCCAAACACATTCCTCAATATTTGCGTCAGCGACTTCAGGGCACCTGCAACGGGTTTCTGGGTATCTCATTTTAATTTTGCATCGCACACTCGGGAGCTATAGTGTGCGAGGCTCTAGTAACGTATTAGAAATATAATCAACTAAAAAATGTAATCAGCTTGGACGTAATAGGTGAAAAAAGTACAGAGCTTCAAGCAGCTTTTTTGTCGATTACATTTTGGTATAGACCAACAAAGAACCGAGATGACCAAGACACGCAGCACAAGCTACAGAATTTTTATTGTTGCAACTCGCACCAGTTACGAAAATCTGGACGCCCTGGGCATTTAGAATGTTCCAGGCAAAATAATGGGTGGAAATCAGGCTGGAAAGCACCACAAGTTGTCACAGGCACTTATTTAGCCAGTCTTCCTGTGAACGTCGATTTCGTCACTAATCTTTTTCTGGACTAGCGCTGTAATCATAAAGTCACTAAACGCTTGTGCTTGGTTGAGAGACACTGCATTCGGTGCAGAATGTAGTTTTCTTCCTGCTCTGGACAGTGACAGTAAATTTGAGGGATGTATTTTCGCCCACAAAATTGTATTTAATTACAATTGTGTTTGAAATGCCCACGTTTTAGTATTAAAATACACACGTCAAATACACTACCCAATTTGTAATTAAATACAAATGCAAAATACACAAAGCATTTGAAATACGTATTTAAAATACTTGTATTTGAAATACTGCCCATCCCTGGTTGCATGCCAGCTAGGGACATCTCTCGACATTTTGTTACACTATTGGGGTTGTTGCTAAATTGCAGCAGAGCAGCATAGTTTGTATATAAAGTAATGATTCAATGCCCCTGGTGTCTTATTATTTTATACAACATCTCCGTTAGAAAGAATTAGCTGTTATTATTTCGAAGGCGCCTTTGTGCATACACTATTCGTTCATATTTCACGAACACAGTTGTCCGCAAACCAATCAAAGTAAATTTCTAATTTGAGTGAGGGCTGTACACTGTTACACTTTTTGTGGAAGCGAGGCTTGCCGAGTAAAATATCTTATCGAACCTGCTGCGTCACTGCTACGAAAGACAATTTTGCAGGTGCAGGCAAATCTACAAATAAAGTCACCTAAAGAACGTCGATGACTAGGGTACTTTGACAGATTGCATCACTCCATTCACAAAAGAACACGCTACAAATCACTTATTTATAGAGGTGTACGAATAGCGAAATTTTAGCTCGAATTTAATAGAGTCGAATAGGGGCCAAAGAATCGAATGTTGAATCGAACACCAAAAAATTATCTTCGCAATGTTTACTAAACAACAAAAAAAACAGATGACAAAAAAAAAATTTACGTGTTTGTTTTTCTGCCGGACACGTGTAACAAAGAGAGGCTAGCACAAAAATTAAAGGAATATCCATTGGTGATCCACCAATGGATATTCCTTTAATTTTTGTGGATTCCCTAGAGATCATCTAGGGAATCCGTAAGGCCGAAAAAACCTCCTTTGTGAAGGTAACGTGCGCTGATGATGTTTGCAAGACAGCAAGGTACAATGTTTTGTGTCACTTTTGTGTTCCGTTTTTTTGTTTCTTTTTTTAATTTTTCCTGAACTATGCCAGAAGCCGTGATTACGCCCTTCTCAATTAAACCCTCTACTTAAAAAAGAATGCGCATTTTAAAATCACTACTTCACCTAAATGATAGATCCGCAAGAAACAAGCACAATGATCTTCATGTTTTCTTTGACTGTACTGGACCGAATATTGGTGTGATTATGCTTACCGAAATGTGGTGCCGTTGTAATGCTGATTATAATCTGTTTCCGGGATATTCGCATTCTAACGTAAATAGGACATATAGGCAGGATGGTGGCGTTGCTATGCCGGCAAGCTACGAGCTGCTCAAGCGGTTCTGCAAACCCACTGTTTTTTGTTTTTTTTCTTGAAAGTCGTGACTATATTTACGAAAAACACGTTGCATCCAGTTTTATACAGGCTCCCCCGTTCTCCAGTTGCGCCTTTTGTTGATTTCTTCGAGACGTTGTTTAATTATGTAAATGATAACAAATAGAAGCTAATTTTGGGCGGTGATTTTAAAGGGATACTAAAGCGAAACTTGAAATACACCTATTATGGTCAGAAATGGGTTCAATATGATCAATGATATCCGCAAATCATAATCGCGCGTCTGTATTTTGAACGAATAGCTGGGTGATTTCAGATAAGATCGACCAAAGGGTGGCTGGTCGACATTTTTAAATCAACTGATGTTTTTATATGACATTGTCTAGTGTCTGGTATAAACGAATCCACATTTAGTTTTGACCAGAAAAAAAATTTGGAGACAAGAAAAATCGTAAGGCAGGGAGAGGTGGACAGTTGCAATAACACGCACTGATGGAGGGGGCAAGTTTGAAAGTGAATAATTAAAACAATAAAATTAGGAGAATTTTAAAACTTTTTACAAACAAACTATGGGTACAACTTGCTTGTAATATAAAGTAATATTATTTATTAAAAATTTATTTAGTTTTCTAAAAATTGCCAAACATGCCTGCTCGAACGACAAATGGCAAACTTTGGAAATCTGTATCTCATGAAATAATTTAATCATTATTACATAACTTGCAGACATTATTTTACTAATATATGGCTATTATTTGAAAAAATAAATAAGGTATCTGAGTGACACAATAGTTACAATATATTTAGGCAAACATGGGAAAAAATCAAGCAAAGAAAAATTCCAATGCGAATAAAAAAAAAACACCACCTTCGATTTTTTTAAAATTTGGGTACCCTGTTATACTCTATTTCGGCACTCATTTCTATTAAAAACATGTTGCATCATTGCACTGTGAAAGAAGAAACAACTCCCCAAAGTAGGGTCCTTTTTCAAAGCCTACACTTAGCAGTGTCCTATACAAGAAGTGACTCTGAGTTCCAGTTTCATGAAACTTGCACAAATATTTTATATACATTTATTCAGATGAGGTCATTCATAAAAAGAGCGATCGTTAACACAGTAAAAGGGAGGAGAAACTATATACAGCATTTTACATAAGCGTACAAAGTGGTATCATATTAGAGACTAATGATTTGAGAAAAGATGATGCAGTGTGAAGTTGTACCTTCCGGTATATTTTACATCTAGAGTAAAATAAATAACTTTACTTCCACACACAAAAACAAAGATATAATAGTAACATATTTAGGTTGGCTGTGTATTTACGATTACAAACAATTTCAGGTGACGGATGCCATAGTGCCTAACTGGAGCAGCTTCGATGCTCTCGGTGTATGAATGAATCGTGGCAAGCCGATATATTTTATCCTGCTCGAGGATAACATTGTGGGATTTTTTTTATAGTGATCAGATAAAAATTATTAGTAACCAAAACAAAAACAGTAGGTTAAATACCCCGTGAAGAAAAATGTGATAAATAAGATGTCCCTGCATTCAAAATGAGCAGTCCTCGGGAAATCGAATTCGGCACTTTACGCTAAGGTTTTCCTCGCTGTACCCATTTAATAAAGTTGCTTCCAAGCAGATCCGACTGTCCGTGCTACATATACGTCACAGGTCCCTTCTGTTGATGACTTGCTGAGCCGCCACGCGTGCCAAGACTGAATGCCAGGGAAGGCGCGCACCGTCAGCCACTCTTCTTTTTTTTTGTTCACGATACCGAACAACCTCATTTTCGTCCAGATATACAAGATGCACGCCTTTCAGTTTCTTTGATAGAACGCTCACCATTGTCCTGGTCGTCTGAATTGCGCTTACTGAACGTTCTCTCAGGTTGTTCAGCGTGGCCTGGTGCTTCACGAGTCCGCCAACTCCGTCACATGCATTTTTCCCGAGTCCAGATGCAGAAAATAACCACTAAGCTTGTGGGCAATCGTCCTTTGCAAATCGGTGAAGCTGGTAGCGATTCTTGAAATGACTGGCGGCGCCGTCACTTACGTACGTCACGTACGAGTATACCGCAACGTTGTCTTCAACCCACTCCTTCACTTTTTCTAGAGCCAAGCAAGCGTGAGCGGCGTCGTGACACAGGTCCTCACTGATGATGGCAAAGCTGTTTGTAGATTTTCTTGTCGTCACTACACATGTAAATATCGAAACTTGTTTTTTTTCCAGTGATATGCTTGCACTTCGTCAGGAAGCACGATGGTCCAGTTTTCAGCAAAGTCAAAATGAAAGACAATGCTCCCGCGTTGCATGCACTGTTTTTCATCGTAGATCGCTTTACCTTGCGTTTGCCGGATATGGTTGTGAAGTACCCAACTTCCAACCGTCACTTGGATGACTTTTAGGAAAGTCTCAGGTTCCAAAGTTTTTTTCACAAGGTCGCCGGACTCCCATGTTGCAAGCACAATCTCTTCATCCTCCGGGATATCAAGTTCCTGGAGTGTAAGAAACTGGCCTTTTGGGCAGTGATCACAGTCAAGGCCAAGATTCCGAGACATTCGGGCTAGTTTCAAAACTTCCCACCACGCGGCGCTCAAAGACCAACCTGCAGAATATTTTTCAACCAGAAAAAAAGTTCCCCTCGCCACACTTCCCATTTCCTCCTCTC